CGCTCGTGCGTCTGTCACGCATTCATAATCATCTCCCTTTCGCATTCGCGCACCGCAAAGACGCCCATGCAATAACATCCACATTGTTTTGACTTGACGCCGGCCCTTTAAGAAGACTGTGCCTCCCAGTAGGAGGGGCTCCCGTTCCTTATTTCGCTGCACAGTGATGATGTCATCAGGAGCTGATCCTACCAGGGTTAGCTGGGCGGGGCCCGAGTTACACTAAGGGCCCCAATAACACTATAGCGCGCTCGTGCGTCTGTCACGCATTCATAATCATCTCCCTTTCGCATTCGCGCACCGCAAAGACGCCCATGCAATAACATCCACATTGTTTTGACTTGACGCCGGCCCTTTAAGAAGACTGTGCCTCCCAGTAGGAGGGGCTCCCGTTCCTTCTTTCGCTGCACAGTGATGATGTCATCAGGAGCTGATCCTACCAGGGTTAGCGTCCCGCAGTAGGATCAGCGGGACACTAACCCTGGGGGTGATGGGGTGGCAAACGATGCCGCACTGCTCCCAAATTCAGAGCAGCGTTGTCACCCCTCATGTCGGCTGTGCCGCGCGTTCGCAATAGGGGTACTGTTGATACGCAAGGAGCATGCCGACAGGAGGAGAGAGCAGAGTTGACGGAGAGATGAGCTCATCGTTGTGCCGCTCCTCCTTTCGGGTTCGCTACAGCGCAGGGAGCATGCCGACAGGAGGAGAGAGCAGAGTGACGGAGAGATGAGCGCATCGCTGTGCCGCTCCTCCTTTCGGGTTCGCTACAGCGCAAGCAGCATGCTGACAGGAGGAGAGAGCAAAGTGAGGGAGAGATGAGCTCATCGCTGTGCCGCTCCTCCTTTCAGGTGCGCTACAGCGCAAGGAGCATGCTAACAGGAGGAGAGAGCAGAGTGACGGAGAGATGAGCGCATCGCTGTGCCGCTCCTCCTTTCGGGTTCGCTACAGCGCAAGGAGCATGCTAACAGGAGGAGAGAGCAGAGTGACGGAGAGATGAGCGCATCGCTGTGCCGCTCCTCCTTTCGGGTTCGCTACAGCGCAAGCAGCATGCTGACAGGAGGAGAGAGCAGAGTGACGGAGAGATGAGCTCATCGCTGTGCCGCTTCTCCTTTCGGGTTCGCTACAGCGCAAGGAGCATGCTGACAGGAGGAGAGAGCAGAGTGACGGAGAGATGAGCTCATCACTGTGCATCACCGGACCTGCAAGTGAAGGTGAAACTGCAGCAAGGAAAAGGAACAGGTCCCCCTTGCCCTCAGGGCGGTGCTGTGTGGCAGAGCTGTGTAAATCTCAGGACTGCATGGACAGGAATACAATACAGTTCGTCGGGGCATAGCGGGCCCCCGGGGCCCATTCCTCACCTCGTGCGGGGGACACGTATCTCTGCAGGACGGTCACGTACAGCTGGAGGGTGAGCTGCGGGGTGGAGCCCAGGAAGGCCTGGATCACGGCGGTGCGCTTGAAGGCGTTGCGGTGCGTGGCCATTCTCCGCAAGGAGTGTCCCACCTCCAGCTCCTGTTCCTCGAACACCCCCCAGCTGCGGAGGTGCTTCTTCCGGGAGATGCTGACGTAGGGTTCCTCCTCGCTGCCCATCTGGAAGTACACCGCCAGCGCTTCCACGCATCTGTGGGGGGAGGGGAGAGGAGGGGCGACCATTAGAGATCAGCAGAACAATGGCCTCCCATTATAATCATTATTCAGTCCCATCTATACCAGCCGACCCTTCCTGTGACGGGGTGACAACCATGCTGCAGTGCTTCCGAATTCAGAGCAGCGTTGTCACCCTCCAGATTATATTTTTATAAATAAGAGAGAGAGAGAGGGAAAGGGAGAGAGAGAGAGAG